AACATGACTATGATTTCCATTGTTAAAAGCAGAAATTCCTTCCTGTAACTCTGGCTCCTCCTCCAGCTGCTGTCCTGTTTCCTCCTACTTTGCTCATGGTCAGGCTCTGTAAGGGTCCCTTGCTGCCCACTTCTGCCATGACCTGAAGCTGACATGGTGGAAGTCTATAGTGTCTATCAGGCATTTGTTCAGCAGGCTGGTTTCAGTCTTGGGCAGCTAATGGGAAGCTCATCTTCCTGTTCTGGTGAAGAGACCCAGAAATCGAAGTGAGAGAGTTAGGTGCTTTTCTCCCTTCCTAAGTCTTTCAGGCCATCTGTCTTTTCCTTGTTGAAATGTCGCAGCGACCTCCAAACAGGTCCTGGAGCCTGGGTCTTGCCCTTCTTTGATAAGGTGAGGTCTATGCTAATGCTAGCCAGAGGAACATGGCGATGGAGCCAGCCTGCCCTCCCGCCTCACTCCACCTTTTCTTGGATGAGCATGATGTTTTGATTGCCTAGTTCACATTGCTTCTTTAATGCCTTTTTTGTATTCCTCCCTGTGGAGAATGTGGTAGAGGAAGATACCCAGAATATACATGAATACAACAAATGTGCATGGGCACACATGCGCGCGCGCACACACACACACTTCAGCCTCTAATTTGTGCATGCTGTGGCCCCAGAATCAAGGCAGAAGCCTCAGATCATGTCTCACAGCATCCCTGCCAGCCCCTTTTCCTCCATCTGTGCCACCTCTGGATTTGTGTCTTGGTTTGTACAGATTCCCCAGGTGATAATCCATCCTTTCTTCCCTTCAGCTCTGCTGCAATCTGGAGGAGGAAAGACCACTTACACCCTGGTAGATTTCTCTGACTTTATTGTGTGTTGTCTGCAGAGAGAAACATGGAGGGAAAGAAAGTGCTGTGAAATCACAGTGATTCCTAACATGGCTTGGGCTGCTCTGTTATGCCAACCTCAGGGTTAGATGTTGACAGCACCTTCAGCGAGGCACCATGAGGCACGGCTGCTGTCCTCTTTGCTGTTCAGCACAGCCTGCACAGTCTAAGGAACTTGTCTTCTGTGTTAAGGAGTTTGGTTTCATTTCTTAGGACTTTTGATTCCAAAGAAAATAGCTAAGTATCAGCCTAAAGAGACATTATAAGATTTTCTTTCATTTAGTAGAAATGTAGTCAGGCATGGTAGTGCACACCTGTAATCGTAGCACTTTTGCTACAACAGAAGGATCACAAGTTTGAGCCCAGCTTGGACAGCTTAGCAAGATCTTGTATCAAAATAATACATGAAAAGGACTGGGATGCAGCTTCATGAGAAGGCCCTGGGTTCAGTGCCCAGTACTGTAAATAAGTCAATAAATAAGCAAGTCTCCTCCCTCTTAAACTTGAGAAATGCAGTTTTGTTCTCAATGAGAGTCTCATAGACCTGGCTTCTTTGTCTTTTCTTGTTAGTGTGCCTATTCTTTGTTCCTGTGCTTAAGAGCATTTCTGTCACTCAGACCCAGAGGTGGCCTGGTGTGGCAGTGTACCTGCAAGGCTGAGGCGGAGGATCACCACAAGTTTGAGGCCAGCCTGGGCCACATAGTGAGTTCAGTGCCAACCTCCAAAAAAAAAAAAAGAAGACCCAGGAGAGAGGTAGTTAATTTGGAAGCTTTGGAAGACAGCTCTGTGCTCTGTCACTTGGGTACAAAGAAATGAGGGAACTCAGATTTATTGTCATATGTTGTATTAAGCTCTGTGCATGTATTTTTCATTTTAGGACTAACATCAACCAGGTAATATTGGTGAACTTGTTTTGTCAGCAAGGAAACTAGAAGCTGGGTGTCCCAGATCACTCTGCTAGCGAGGAGCTGGGACCAATTCTGAGCCTGTATCTCTCTGATCCTGAGTTCTCTGCTCTTTTATGATCTTGCTTCTCATATGTAGGCCCTCCTTCCTACAGCCTTGAGTCTCCTAGTACTTTGGTGACCTCTGTCTTTTTGACCCCAGATGCCTTCCTCGCTAATATATAAAGTCCTGGAGGCCACTGCACACTTCGAGGTGTTACAGCAGATGACAGTGAGGAAAAGCACCTATGAGAGAGAGACCAGAGGCGTAGGGACAAATCAGCTTTGTTGAAAGCCAGTGACAGACATTCTGATGCCGAGTCAGGAAAACAAGCTGTCGGTGCCTGCTTGAACTTGACCTCTAGGTTATATTAGGTTTCCACAGTCCCACATTACCATATTATCTCATTCCCAGGAATGTTACATGAATACTTGCAGACACTGTTGACTATCCATTGGTCATGGGGCATTGTTTAACATTTACCTTACTTCCCAATTTATTTTAGCTATTCATTTTTCTCTTTATGACCTTGTTTTCTTTTTTTTTTTTTAGTGGGTTTATGGTTAGCTACATAGGGAAGTGGTGAGGCAGGGAAATTAAGTGACTCTTAAAATGGAATTACAAAAGAAACGAGGTCTCTTTTGCCCCATCAGTGGGGTTCGCGTGGCTGCCTTAGTTCTAGGGGTGAGCCTTTAATTCTGCCTGCTGATGACACCAGTGTTGAAGACACACCCACCTGTGTTCAGGATTTGATATATAAAGTCAGCATAGACAGAGCTGTGTTTGCACATCAGCCTCACGTTGGATGCTTCAGACTCAGCCCCTTTCCTGTCCTCCTCACACTGCCGTGGTTTCCAGCAGCTGGGGGGCCTGTGGGATCCTGATGGCTTGTGAACCTGTCTAAATATTTTTATCTGTCACGTCCAGTATGTAACAGCCACTTGAATATTAAAATCACCTATAGATTTGGATGTACTATTTCTCAAAATATTTATGCTTATAAAGTAAATAAAAATTCCTCCCTAATAACATTGCTGTAGTATACAAGGCACGATCATAAAAGTCTTAGAACAATTTTGCACGTCCTCTGCAGAATCTAGCACGTTTCTGCTTCCTCATAATGTCATTCTAAATAAGAATATACAAATAACTTTCTCTTAGTGTCTGTGCTGCAGATATGTGCCTCAGGGAAAACTTTATGTGTGCTGCAGGTAGAGCCTGCTCACATCCAATGCTGCTTTAGAATGACGTCAAAATATAAACTGAAATGTATGGTTTCCATAAAATGGTAGTAATGACAGTGAAGCAGTCATAGGACAGATTTTGAAAATTTTGTGGTCCAGAGTGTTGCTTAAAAGGAAGAAACACATTAATTATTTATTCATGTAAAACGAGACTCAAGAACTGAAGGCACTGCTGGGTACGCGGGAATCCTTACAAATAATAACTTTAAAGAATGGGACCCAGAGTCTAACCATCTCATGGCCCATGGTCATTCTGATACAAATGTGGCTGATGCTTAGGCTAAGCAGACATTGGCTGGCTTCCTGGAAGCACAAGGATTCTAGAATGAGGAACTCTTACCTAAAATTTCCAAATCTGTATGTGTAATGATGCAGCAATACCTCTGAGCAGCCGAACGGAAGGAGATTCTTGCCTTCTTATGCAGAGACCCCTGTTCTTCCCGTGTGGGGGAGGGGGAGTAGTCAGAATGTGGTTTGAAGAATGTTATAAGCTATACTTTGGTTCCTCAGCTGCAGATGTGAGGATCACCCAAGTCTGTGGAGGGCAAAGGATCAGATAAGAAAGAAGCCATTGCTCACTGACTGAGAAATGAGAAACTGTAGGAATTCTTGCTGATGAATTTTATGCCCTTCTAGTACGAGAAACCTTTTGTTTCTTCTTAGCAAGGGACATAAGGAATAAATCACTCTTGGAACATACAATATTGGAGATAAATGCAACTGTCAGATAGTCGCCTAGGAGTTCTACAAAGGCAGAGGATGACTGCAAACAGTTGAAATCAATCCACGTCTTTGGGGCCGTGGCATGTCAGCAACCCAGGGCTCAGTGTTGTGTTACTAGTAATAGTTTTGTTTGGGTGTGTTCTTGAGAAGTTCAGCCATTTCTTCAGAAGTTCTGCTGAGAGCAGACACGAAGCCCAGGTCCAAAATGTTCAGAGACATTAAGAAATTCTAATAAAGGTTTGGTTTCCAGCATTTACAACATAGTTTCTAAACAAGAATGAGAAGAATTACCATGGCTGCATGGAGCATCATCCTTGTACAATGAATGATGGTCCAGCTTAATTAGTATGCTGGAGTCCCCGAGGAATGGAGACCAGTTTTGTTGCTGCTGAGAATGAATTTGCAAATAAAAACATGTTGTAAATATTTGTAAAGGGGATGACTTCAAGGTTATAAAAAATGAAGACTGGCAACTAGAAGGAAATGCTTTTATGTGAATTCAAAAGTGAAATACTTCTTTAGTCTAAGTAAAATTTCACCCCTCTGATGTCTTAGCTATTCCATATGTTGACTTTTTTTTTAATCTTTTAAAGTCTTTTATTTTATTTTATTTTATTTTATTTTATTTTATTTTATTTTATTTTATTGTGGCCAGCTCAGCCCACCCTGGGGGCAGGTCTGGCATGGCATATAGTGCCAGGGATTGAACCATGGTCCCTGCACACTTGCCTAAGCTTGCCTAAGCAGGCACTTTAGACCGCTGCGCTATCTTGCTGGCCCTTTTTTTAATCTTTTAAATTTATTTATTTATTTGGAACTGGGCCTCGCTACACAACTCAGACTCATAGTGATCCTCCTGTTTTAGCCTCCCTAGCACTGGGATTACAGGTATGCACCACCATGACCAGTCTCAGTGGCTGGCATGGCGGCACAGCGTGTGGTACTAGGGATCAAACCCAGGTCCTTGTACTTGCCAAGCAAGTATTTAGACAGTTGAGCCATCTCCCCCGCCTTGTATGTTGACTTTTGATTCATAGTGCATTTACATTAATTAATCTCTGTTTGCTCCTACTTAAAACATGAACAAGCTATGAAAGAAGAAAATGGGTCAACTCTAGAGGAATGTATTAACTTTCTATATAAAGGTGTGACTCACATTCTATGCTAAGTTTAATCTTGGCAAGCATCTAACCACCAATTTGCTCTCTTCCCAGCTGATTCAGGTGTCGGCACCTTGGCAGTGTTTATGGCCAGCAGCGGAACCACGGACATCACAAATCGCAACAGCCCAGCCACCCCACCAAACACCCTTAATCTCCGTTCCTCCCACAATGAACTGTTGAACGCTGAAATAAAACACTCAGACCCCAAGAACAGCACACCTCCCAAATGCAGGAAAAAATATGCACTAACTAATATCCAAGCGGCGATGGGCCTCTCAGATCCGGCTGCACAGCCCCTGCTGGGAAGTAGCTCTGCCAACATCAAGCTGGTGAAAAATGGAGAGAACCAGCTCCGAAAGGCTGCAGAGCAAGGGCAGCAAGACCCCAACAAAAACGTCAGCCCGGCTGCAGTCATCAACATAACTTCTGAGAAGTTAGAAGGGAAGGATCCCTGTGCCCAGGAGCCTGTGGGCTGTGAGATTGTACCTACCCAGCCCAGGAGAACTAAGAGCTTCCTCAACTACTATGCAGACCTGGAGACCTCAGCCAGAGAACTGGAGCAAAACCTGGGCAACCACCAAGGGCTTGGGGAGGAGAAGGCCCAGCCGGACCAGGGCCAGGCCCCTGCCATCATTGGGAATGGAGACTTGCTGCTGCAGAAACCAAACAAACCCCAGTCCAGTCCAGAAGATGGCCAGGTAGCCACTGTGTCCTCTAGCCCGGAGACTAAGAAGGACCATCCGAAAACAGGGGCCAAAACTGACTGTGCACTCCACCGGATCCAGAACCTGGCGCCCAGCGACGAGGAGTCCAGCTGGACGACGCTGTCACACGACAGCGCCTCCCCCAGCTCATCAGATGAAGCAGGTACCCTGGGGAAGGGGTCCTGGGTGGCACTTGCTTTTGGTGCTCCCAGCTATCTGTAGACTAAAAAAGAATGTGTATCACTAGGTGAGAGAACCTGGACCCTCTTTGGGGAAAATTGGCCAGGGTGTGTGGAAAATACCACCGTTCTTTAGCCACATCTTAGATTAGTTTCATTTTGGATCATTCATAAACTATGTGTGATTTTGTGGAAGAAGCAGGTCTTTGGTTAAGTATGGCAAAACATTGTTGATACTGAAATTAAACTACATGCTTAGGTAAACTATTTCTGTATACTCTCTGCCAATACCAAGTTTTGTTTAATGTCGATAAAACACAGTTGCCAGGGGCAGGATATAACCTGATTAAGCCAACCTCCTGTTTTAAAGTTCTCAACTATTTTATAGCTTATACCACTTATCTAGTGGGTAGGGCCATGCACACTTGTAATTCTAGTGCCCTGGGAGGCAGAGGCAGGAGGACTCTAGCCTGGGGCCAGCCTGGGCAATATAGCAGCTTAGACCCCCATCTCAAAATAAAAATTAAAGAGGCCATGTTTAACCCATGGTGACACCAAAACAACAATAACGAGAAAACTTGCTTATGTTCAAGCTAATGAAAAGTTAAATTAAAAGTTTGTTCCTTCATAGAAATGTTGACTTTCACAAGGAATATTTTATATCCTATTTAAGTGATATTTACAAGTGAAAAAATGGTATGTCTCATAAAATATATATAGAAGCTTAAGATTTCAGCTAGTGTAATTAAGATTGGTTGTTGATAGTTTCACGTGTATTTGCATATCTTTATTTGTTGGGGGGTTCCATCGTGAGAAAGAAGAACAGGGCCCTAAAGGTCACCTCCTTCTAATCTTATTTTCTCATTGTCCCGAATCTACTGATCAGAAAACTGACCACTGTAGAGGGCTTTGCTGCTGGTGAGTTCAGTGCGAGCCGGCTCAGAAAGGTGGCCAGCAGCTACTCCTGGGGGGCTCTGGGCTGGCTGCATTAGTATGGGACAGATGTATCAAAAATGTGGAATAGATAGACAGCAAAGGAAATACATTTTTAACCTATAAACTAGATAAATTATAAGGAATAAATGTAAGAGTGAAACCATTAACATTTCTTTTTTAAAGAGATTTTGAAGCACGCCATCCTTTGAGGGAAGGATTTCATCAGCTGACTGTAGCTGGGGGTGGCAGCAGGATTGCTGAGATAGATGATCTTTTTCATCTCAGCAGTGTCTGGCCTGCACATCGTTGGCATTATAACGTGTTTAGTGACACTACCAAATCTACAACTCCGTTACTTTCTACCCATGAAAATGTCCATCCTGTACCTGATGGACATTGCTCCCTGCTAGGGTGTGAATCTACAGAAGCAATTCTGGGAGCATCTTTGAGTGAAACCCTCCTTCTTACTTGCCAAGACCCGCATCCTGAGACCTCACTGGCCTCCTGTGGTCCTGGCAGCTCCTGCTGCTTCTCTGGGTGGGAGATAAACAGTGAGCAGTGCCCTGCCCCCATCACAGTCTTTATTCCCAAAGATCCCAGCTAACTCTTTTGGGGTCTGGAAACATTTCCATAAAACATTTTAGGCAAGCTTCCACACTTATAATAAGTTTTGCAATGTATTCAAATTCTGTAAGTCATTATTATTTAAAGGTAAAAACTAATCTAGTACTGTCGCGCATGGCCTTGCCAGCAAGAACGACGCGACCACTGGTTGGTTTTTCTGTTGAGCTCTTTATTGTTCTCTTGCATCCGTCTTCTCTCCGTCTTCTCTCCTCCCAAGGCCCCTGCTCTTAGCTTATAAATCCCAGGGCTTCCAACCATGGGGTGCTACGTGTGTACTGCCCATTGGTCCAGGTATGTGGAAGCAATGCATTAGCCCAAGCCTTGGCCATATATGGAGTTGTTTACTCCAGGAGCACTCACCCCTTGAGGGGGTGGAAGGCGGAAACCGGCGCCATCCTAGGGCACGGCTACACGCAGCTCCCTACATAGTACCTATACAGTAATGGCTTAACAGTGCTTGGCCCCTTGGATCCATGGGCTCTGCCTTTGTGGATTCAGCCAGTGCTGCTTCCGACAGTATGTGGTAGAAAAAATTGCAACTGTACTGAACGTGTATAAATTTTATCTTCTTGTCATTCTCTAAATAATATATTGTCTACTAATATAATATTTATACTATACTAGGTATTAGAAGTAATCTAGAGATTATTTCAAGTGTATAAGAGGATATATACAACTTATATACAAATACTATCATTTGAGGTAAGGAAATGGAGTATATTTTTAGATTTTGGGGATTCAGTAGGGGTATGGGAATCCATGCCCCTATAGATGGCAAGGGATGACTGTATAGATTAACACAGCTATTAGGGTGTATGGGATTTTCTCTAAAATACTAGTGGAGGTGAAAAAAATTACTCATAAGCTGCTAATTGTTAAAACTGGATTATGGGCTCATGAGAGTTTGTGATCTTCCTCAGTTTTTAATGTTTTAACATTTTCCATAATCAAAAGTTACAGCAAGAAAAATTACTCAAAATTTCATGCTTTGCCTTTTACACTTGAGTATATTTAACAGATTAGTGGATTTTTCTATCTCTTTCCTTTGTAAGTATTTTTCATCCTGTGCTACCATGTGCCAGCTCCATTAGTTACTTAATGATTCCCTCACTGGTGACTATTTAGCTATTTCTATCCACAGCCCTTGTGCTTGTTGAGTGCTGGTATCAGCAGGGGCCTATAGAGAGGGCAGAGTTTAATCTGAAAATGTACATCATGCTCCACCCCCTGTGATCCTGACATATGCCTTTCACTTTCTCTCCAGGAAGTCACCAGTGTTGACCACAGGTTTGTACTGTGTCCTGGTGTTGTTTTCTGCTAGGTTTCTCCACCAATCCCAGGAGAGCACTTAGCACGTGATGTGAACTGGGTTAAAGTTCCCAACTTTCGGAAGGTGCATTTAGTTTTTGTTCTGAAAGTTGGTCTTGAAGACCTTTGAATTTAGATGAATGAGGACAGCAGTGTCTACATGGCCCCTGCGAAATCACTAGTATTGACAGTTTTGAATTAAAAATATTTCAAAGAATGTATTAGCTGTGTCTCAAGATCACATTTTGAAAAATATCCTGGAAGCCAAATTATTAAGAATTGATGTGAAATTATTAATAATTGAGTATTAATTATTTCTGTATTGCCTTAGAGCCAGTTGTACACTTCTGAAATGAAACCTCTTCATAGTCACACTTCGGAATTTCAAGTAGTAAACACTGCATAGATTGCTGAGAGAGATAAGCAGTTTTTCAGCACTAGTACTTATTTCATCTTTTCCATGAGAGACACTGTTAGTATTTAAAATGATCACAATCAATTTAAAGTAATATTGCATGTTTCATTTGCAATGGTAAAGTATTTACTACCTGTTTCATGTAGTGTACATATAATAAACACAAATTAACTATTGAAAGAAAACAAACAGTAAAAGTAAATATTTTTAAGATATTGGTGTGCAGCATTGTTGTATCTGCATAAAAATGTGCATTTGCCTGTTTGCTATATGCTAAATAAATACTTATCACAGGAGAGTATGTTTTATGATGAAATCATGGCACAATTATCTCCTGATTGTAGACTGTGCTTTTGAAGCCTAGAAAATTGGAATGGACCCATTTCTACCTTAGGGGCATCCTTTCCAAGTTAGAGTGCTATTTATAAAATGGAGTGTATTGCCTAATACAGAGATTGACTACTTTCTATTTCCTGTTCTCTCTGAATTGCCCCCTCCAGCCTTTCACTGACTATTTTTTTAACCAATCAATCATGTCTACAATATGGTGCTGCTCCTTTCCTCCTGTGAGAAAACAAGAGAGCTCTTCCTCTGCTATACTAGGAATCAAACTTGGGATCTTTGCTTGCCAGACAGATGCTTATGGGCCAGGGAGATGGCTCAGTGGAATAAGTGCTTCCTTGGCAAGCGCAAGGGCCTGAGTTCAATCCCCGGGCCTGCAAAAAAAAAAACAGACAGATGCTTATGCCTCTGAGCTATATCCCAGCCCCTCAGGAAGCTCTTAAAAAAGAAAAGGTAAAAGGAAAGCATCTGGCAGTGTAGGAAAGTTAGAGAATGCCTTGTTCTAAAACCTAGTTTAGACCCTGATTCTAAAACAAAGTGTCTCAGTTACTCTTCTGTCTTTGCTGGGATGAAATACCCAACGTCCACAACTAAGGAAGGAAAGGATTGTTTAGCTCTCAGTGGAGGCTTCAGTCCATACTCAGCTGGCCTCATGTGGCAGAGTGGCACATAGCACCAGCAGCCCTTCCAGGTGGTGGCTGAGATCAAAGGAAGAGGCAGTGGCTCTGGCTGAAGGCTAGTGTCTCTCCCCTCCTCACATTGTAATGCAGATTACCCACCCCAAGACTGGATATAGCACTCCCACCTACAATCCCAGCATTGGATCAAGAATCAATCGCAGACTTCAGAAGCCACAGCATGACTGTGGGAGGCCTTGGGGGGACAAGTAGACACAAACACATAACGCAGAGTGTTGTAGCTCTTGTAACTTTGAACCTGGCTAGGATTTTGTCTGAGGTACTGTTGGTTCCAGGCCTCCAGGCAAGCACAGTGGCTCAGCTAAGTGCATGCTGATCACACCTCTGCAGTTCCTCTCTTAACTGATGTGCCATGGGCACCTCATGGAGACTTTGGAAAGATGGGTCATTTTGGAGCCTTCAGGTACCAAATTGTACATTAGGTTTTATGTGGGCTTCCCAACTAGGAACACAGAATGTGACACAGGATGGGCTTGTGTGCACGTGTGTGTGTGTGTGCATGCACGCATGTGTGCATGCTGCAGCTCAAACCCAAGACCTAGCACAAGCTAAGGAGATGTTCTTCCACTGGGCGACACCTCTGTGACTGGGTTAAGTCTCATTTACTAACTATTTCAATTAGGTTCAGGGCTATAGCATACAAAAGCAGGACTGCATACAA